ATATGGTTAGATTTAAATTTACCATGTTACTAGTTGTTTTCTATTTGTTCTATTTGTTGTTTGTTCCTTTTTTCTCTTTTACAACCTTCTCTGTGTTTATTTTTCTATTATTTTATTTTATTTTGAGAGTATCTCACTCTGCCATTTAATCTGGAGTGCAGTAGCTCAATCACAGCTCGCTGCAGCCTCAACCTCTGAGGCACAAGCAATCCTCCCACCTCAGCCTCTCAAACTACAGGTATGTGCCATCATGCTAATTTTATTTTCATAGGTAGAGTCTTCCTATGTTGCCCAGACCAGAAGTATATTTTATGATTCAATTTTATCACTTCTATTAATATATCAATATTGAATATCCCCTCTATTAAAGTATTACTATCACTCCATTTTATCTCATTTATACTTTAAAAACAGTTTTAGTGGTTGCTCTAGCATTTAAAATATACATTTTAAAATAATCTGAGTATGCCTTCAAATAACATTATGCAATTCCACAGTTATTGTAAGGATTTTATAAAAATATATTTCCAATTCTTCCTTCCCGTTTCTTGTGCCTTGTTTGCCATACATTTCACTTTTCCGTATGTTATAAACACATATTCTATTGTTACTGTGTTTACTTTTAACAGTTATCTTTTAGAGGAAATATAAATAAAGAAAAAATGTTTTACTTTGCTTTTATTTATTTCATTTCTGATGCTCTTTTGACTTTTATCATATTCCTTCTCCCTAAAGATCTACCTTTATTTTTATTTATTTATTTATTTTTTTGAGATAGAATCTTGCTCTGTCACGCAGGCTGGAGTGCAGTCATGCGATCTCTGCTCACTGCAAGCCCTCCTGGGTTCACGCCATTCTCCTGCCTCAGCCTCCCAAGTAGCTGGGACTACAGGCACCTGCCACCAGGCCCGGCTAATTTTTTTTGTATTTTTAGTACAGACAGAGTTTCACTTTGTTAGCCAGGATGGTCTCGATCTCCTGACATTGTGATCTGCCCGTCTTGGCCTCCCAAAGTGCTGGGATTACAGGCGTGAGCCACTGCACCCGGCCTAAAGATCTACCTTTAATATTTATGGTAGAGTAGATTTACTGGCAATGAATTTCCTCAATCTCTGTCTGCCTGAGAAGGTTTTCACTTCTCATATCTTTTTAAGGATATTCTAAGTAGGTATAGAAGTTTGGATTGCCAGCCTTTTTTTTTTTTTTTTTTCATTTAGTACTTTAAAGATGTTAATCCATTGTCTTCTGGTTTGCATGGTTTCTGACAGAAGTCTGTTGTAATTCTTATCCTTGTTCCTCAATAGATAGCATGTTTAGTTTCTCTGATCACCTTCAAGAGTTTCTCTTTGTCTTTGAGTTGCAGCAATTTACACATGATATGTCTAGGTATGTTTGTTTCTTTGTTTTTGGTATTTATCCTGCTGGTGTGCTCTGGTATTCTTAGATCTTTGATTCTGTGTCTCTAGCTAAGTTTTTAACTATAAAGTTCAGTGTCTGTACAGACTGTCAAAAATTGCCAGTGCTGACTATATTTCAAGTCATCATGGTGGAGTATTAGGAAAAGTTTTCAGTTAGCAATAATCACACCTCAGATAAACCTCATTGGCTATGATACTGCCACTGCATAAAGCTCTGTCACTAATTTTCAAAAGTTTCCAGCCACTATTTTTCTCAGATATGTTTTCTGCCCAATTTTCTCTTTCTTCTTCTTCTGGAATTCCAATTATGCTTATATTAGACTGTCTGATATTTCTGATATTGTCCTACAGTTCTTGGATTATCTGTACTGTCTTGAGATTTTTTTTGCTTTATTCCCCTTTGCATTTTATTTTGGGTAATATGTTTAAGTTTACTTATTCTTTACTCAGCTCTATCAATTATACTGATGGGCCCATCAAAAGCACATCTCATCTCCATTACTGTGTTTTGTTTCTAGTATTTCCATTTGATTCTTTATAATGGTTTCCATTTCTCTGCTGAAATTGCCTATCTGGGCTTGCATGCTGTCTAACTTTTCCTTTAGGTCCTTTAACATATTAATCATAATTAATGTCTGGTAGCTCCAACATCTGTGTCGTATGTGAGTCTGGTCCCAATGGTTGCTTCATCTCTTTAGACTGTGTTTTTCATGGTTTTTTGTATGCCACATTTTTGTTGTTGCTATTGAGATCTGGAAATATTAAATAAAACAATATGGTGAATATTCCAGTTCCAGGGTCAAATGCATGTGACTAGAGACAATTTAGGAATGAAAAGAAGTTATGTGGAGGTTTCTATAACCTAGAGTTCAAGTCTACAGTGGTTTGGAAATGGGCTTTGAAAAGTGGGCAGTATAGACTTTCCCCCCGCTTTAATTTTTTTTTTTAATCAGCACAAAGCATACATATGGGTTTGTTTGTTTGTTTGTTTAATCCTAGTCTATAGCAGAGGTCAGCAAATTTTTTCTTAAAAGGCCAAATGACAAATATTTAAGCTATGTGGTCTCTGTCACTACTACCCAACTCTGCCATTATTAACACAAAGTCAACCATACACTCATACATCCACATACTTATACAAATGAGTGTGACTATGTTCCAATAAAACTTTATTTACAAAAGAGGCAGCCAGCCTGTGCGTCATAGTTAACTGATTCCTGAGCTATAGAATAATATTAAATGAGCAAAGCCTTGCTCTCCATGAAGCAGTCCTGCTCTCCAGGATAATCACATTTAACTATTTTCTGTATTCTTTGGGTGGATGCACATATAATTCTGGGTAATACAGGCTTATAACTCTATTTCTTGATATATTAATCTATTGAGACTCCCTCACGCAACCATGAAACATGAGAAAATTTCCTCCCAGCACTTTGGGAGCCTGAAGCAGGCAGATCACTTGAGGTCAGGAGTTTGAGATCAACCTGGCCAACATGGTGAAATGCTATCTCCAGTAAAAATACAAAAATTAGCTGGGCATGGTGGCAGGTGCCTGTAATTCCCAGAGACTCAGGAGGCTGAGGCAGGAGAATTGCTTGAACCTGAGAGGTGGGAGTTGCAGTGAGCCAAGATCATGCATTGATATTTTAACAGCCTGGAAAGCTAAGAGTGATGTCAACAGCAAGACTCCATCTCAAAAAATAAAAAACTAAAAATTAAAAAACTTTTTTTTTTAAATAAAATTTCCTGTCTTACATTACCTCTTTTTTCTGTGGTAAGCAGGTAAGCCTACCCCTAGAGGCCAAAGGAACTGAGAGGAAGAAGAAAGAGGCTAACAAATCCAGTGTCTCAGAAAGAAACATTTAGACTGGGCATGGTGGCTCATGCCTGTAATTCCAGCACTTTGAGGGGACCAAGGCAGATAGATCCCTTGAACCCAGGAGTTTGAGACCAGCCTGGGCAACATAGTGAGACTCTATCTCCACCAAAAATACAAAAATTAGCTGGGCATGGTAGTGTATGCCTGTAGTCCCAGCTACTTAGGAGACTGATGTGGATCACTTGAGCCTGGGAGGTGGAGGCTGCAGTGAGCCATGATCATGCCACTGCACTCCAGCCTGAACAACAGAGCCATACCCTGTCTCAAAAAAAAAAAAAAAAAAGTCACTCTGTTGCCCAGGCTGGAGTGCAATGGCACGATCTCACCTCACTACAGCCTCCGCCTCCTGGGTTCAAGTGATTCTCCTGTCTCAGCCTCCCAAGTAGCTGGGATTACAGGCGTATGCCACCACGCTGGACTAATTTTTGTATTTTTAGTAGAGATGGGGTTTCACCATGTTGGCCAGGCTGGTCTTAAACTCCTGACCTCAGGTGACACTCCTGTCTCAGCCTCCCAAGTAGCTGGGATTACAGGCGTATGCCACCACGCTGGACTAATTTTTGTATTTTTAGTAGAGATGGAGTTTCACCATGTTGGCCAGGCTGGTCTTAAACTCCTGACCTCAGGTGACACTCGCCTGCTTTGGCCTCCCATAGTGCTGGGATTACAGGCATGAGCCGCCGCACCTGGACAAGAAAGAAAGAAACATTTAATAGGAACTAACAAACAGAAGCAATATCTCTGGTGGCCAAGAGATGGTTGATTCCTATACTTGCCCTCCAGAAAGTAGTCTTTATATAGCAAACTGCTTTTGGCAAAACATGTACAGTTGGTCACGTCTCAGACCCTCTTGCAAAATTCGTGACCACTGGGGAAGTTAGATAAGCATTTTTATAAGAGTTGTCTACGCTACAGGCATTGTTTCTTGGCCTGACTGTGGGAATATGGGAATACCTTGGTATTCAGGAGTCAAACATTGATCCTGATGGTGATTTCACCTCAGGTGGCATTACTCTTGCAACAGGCTGTTTTCTTACACTCTTTCCTCCGCAACCCTCCAACACTTGTCTTTTATCAACATATATATTAATAGTTTCTCCTATTGGTTTGTTTCCCTTTATAACTTTGCTGTTTCTTTTTCCATTAACAGACCATTCCTCTTGAGCCTCCCCTTGGCAACATGAGGATCTTGCTATTCCTTCCTCACCCTGCCCTTCTCCCCATCTTTGCCTGACTGCTGTTAATGCTACTGTAACTTTCACAGCACCCATCTTATAATGTTTGCATTCTGTTTTGTAAATTATCTAGGTCTTTGGTGCTCTGCCAGAAGTTGATTCTAAAAATTGCAAACCAAGAAACAATATTTACATTATTTTAATTATATAAATATTAGTCATTGCAGAACTAAGTAGTGTGATTGGAGAAGTAAATATAATTCACTGATACTAAATCAGTTCCAAGCATCAAAGTCACACGGATTCTTTTTTCTTATACTCCAGTAAATACTCAAAATCATGTCACATTTCAGTTTTCAGTCTACCCAATAATCTTCAAGAACTCTTGTTCTCTGCACCTTTTCTGGGTCAACCTACTGCTGTTTCATGGAAGCAATGCGCTCACATGGCGCTCTGAGACATCCACATCTTGAATCCTCTCTGCTTTCCCTGGGAACCAACCTTGGGCCACTTATCTTGGTTCTTCTCCTTGAAGCTGTTAGTTTTCCTAAAGGATATCTTGAGGAAAGCTTCAGTTCTTCGTATTCTAGGGGATATTCAAAAGAACATGATTAATCCATTAGGCTGAACAGTTTTCTCCTTTCTCCCTGTGTATTGATATGATTGATATTTTAACAGCCTGGAAAGCTAAGAGTGATGTCAACAGCCTCAGCTGCACTGAGAGTGAGGCGAATCACTCCAGGAGAGTTCTGAGCCCAAACACACACCGGCTTGAGTGGTCCTGGGCTTGCTGTTCCCAACAAAGGCTCTTAGAACTCTCTTTAAGCCTCAGTCAGCATTTGGTGATCCAGTGGGTGTTTTCCAAGCCAGGCTGTCAGCTTGAAGAGTTCTCCCTTGGGGCAAAGTCCTTTTAGCATCTCAATTCAGGTGATGAGTTCCCTTTAAAATGCTGAAGGAACATGATGTGGTGGCTCACGCCTGTAATCCCAGCACTTTGGGAGGATGAGGCGGGCGGATCACTTGAGGCCAGGAGTTTGAGACCAACCTGCCCAACATGGTGAACTGCTGTCTCCACTAAAAATACAAAAATTATCTGGGTGTGGTGGTGGGCGCCTGTAACTCCCAGCTCCTCAGGAGGCTGAGGCAGGAGAGTCACTTGAAGCCTGGAGGCGGAGGTGGCAGTGAGCCGAGACCATGCCACTGTACTCCAGCCTGGGCAACAGAGCGAGACTCAAATAAATAAATAAATAAATAAATACATAAGTAAAATGCTGAACAGGTTAATCCCTTGACCTTCTAAAATGGGGAAAGCTGGGTTCCAGGGGCCGAGCACAATGCACAGAAAGAAACCACGTGAGTCATTGGTTCCAGGAACTCAATACTCTCAGCGAGGGGCCCTCAGAGCAGCAAGTGCCAGTGGAAGCATCTCTAAATTAATTGGGTCTCTTTGTAAATCCAAAGGATAAATTAAGTAAATGAATTGTCTGAGGCCAATTGATTTGTAGTTCACATTTCCTCTGCAAAGGCTTGACTACAGATTTATTCACGCATTTCTGAAGCCACATGATTTAGTGCTGAGGCCTTCTTGGGCCTTTGTTTTTTTTGGTTTTTTTTGTTTTTTTGAGACAGAGTCTGGCTCTGTCGCCCAGGCTGGAGTGCAGTGGCCAGATCTCCGCTCACTGCAAGCTCCGCCTCCCGGGTTCACGCAATTCTCCTGCCTCAGCCTCCCGAGCAGCTGGGACTACAGGCGCCCGCCACCTGCCCGGCTTATTTTTTTGTGTGTTTTTAGTAGAGACGGGGTTTCACCGTGTTAGCCAGGATGGTCTCGATCTCCTGACCTCGTGATCCGCCCTCCTCGGCCTCCCAAAGTGCTGGGATTACTGGCGTGAGCCACCGCGCCCGGCCTAGCCTTCTTGGGCCTTTGATAACTGCCATGATTATTAAGGCCTTGGAGGATATAAAGTGTGTTTTTCCACGATATTTACTTATATCTTCTGTACAAAATGCATAAATATGTTACCAAGAATGTTACTAAAAACAGAAAAGAAAAGGCATGTTGTTCTTCCCCCCCCCCAAGGCATTAAATATCATCTGCAAATTGTTAATTGTTCAGCTTGCACTTTTATGACAGGGTTGGACCTGGGGAATGAAAAGCAGCTCCCGGTGCTGACACGGGAACACACCTGGCTGGCAGCTTTGTTTTCAGAATGCCAAAGAGTGTAGGCTTCATTCCTTCATTCTGTAAGAGGGTACAGTAGGCATTGTCTAACTTTTATTTCAGCTACTTAGAGGGAAAAAAGCTACCATGACACCTGTGATAGTCAATTTTATGTCTCAACTTGACTGGGTCACTGGTTGCCCAGATAGCTGGTTAAACATTATTTCTGGATTTGTCTGTGTGGGTGTTTCTGGAAGAGATGACCATTTCGATTAGTGGGCTGAGTAAAGCAGATCGCCATCAGTAATACAGGTGGGCATTGCCCAATCTACTGAAGACCCAAACAGAACAAAACTGGAGCAGGAGGGAGGATTTGCCATCTCTCTGTCCGATGCTTGCCATCTTCCCCCAGTGCCCGTGCTTTTCAGGTCTTCAGATTCAATCTACACCACTGGCCCTCCAGCTCTTAGGCCTCTGAACTAACTCCCAGCTTTCCTGAGTCTCCAGCTTGCAGACAGCAGATCATGGGCCTTCCCAGCTTCCATACTCAGGGGAACCAATGCCCTATAATAAATTTCTTCATGTGCAGTCTTGCATTGCTTCACAGTGAGGATACATTCTGAAACATGCGTTGTTAGGCAATTAAGTCATTGTGTGGACATCATAGAATGCACTTAAACAAGCCTATAGGCTCTATGGTATAGCCTGTTGCTCCTAGACTACAAACATATACAACATGATACTGTACTGGATACTCCAGGCCATGTAACACATGGTAAGTATTCGTGTATCTAAACATAGAAAAGGCACAGTAAGGCTGGGTGCGGTGGCTCATGCCTGTAATCCCAGCACTTGCGGTTGGGAGTTTGAGACCAGCCTGGCGAAAATGAGGAAACCCCATCTCTTCTAAAAATACAAAAATTAACTGGATGTGGTGGTGCATTCTGGTAGTCGCAGCTACTCAGGAGGCTGAGGCAAAAGAATCGCTTGAACCCAGGAGGCGGAGGTTGCAGTGAGCTGAGATCACCCCACTGCACTCCAGCCTGGGGAACAGAGAGACTCCATCTCAAAAAAAAAAAAAAAAAAAAGAGAGAGAGAGAAAAGGCATGGTAAAAATACTGTTGTATGTGTGGCCTGTCATTCACCAAAACGTTGTTATATGGTACATAACTGTATATCTATATGCTATTGGTTCTGTTTCTCTGAGAACCTGGATGAATATACCACCTAATGGTGATCTCTAATGTTGCAAGGACAATAACTGTCTTACCTGTCCTCACACATTTTATTGTGAAGTGACACTGTGTGTTGTCCAGACTGAGAATTTACCAGCTATAACTTCCCCCCGCTTCAGAAACAGATTGGAAAATCATAATCAACAAAAAGTGTGTTCACTGAGAGAAGTCACCCACTGTTCAGACACAGGAGTGAGACTCTGGGGCCAGGAGGGCATCCAGGAGAAATGTACAGTGAATTTCCCTTTAAACACAGAAGCTGGAACAAGGCTCCGGGTTTATTTTGACTTGGAATTGCCTCTGTGGTTCTCAACCACCTCTGAGGAAGGTAAGAACCCACCCTCGCCTGTTCAAGGCTGGCTTCCAGCTCAGGAGGAAGGCTGGGGGGTGGGAATTAGGAATCCCTCCCCACCCCGCCCAAAACACACACACACATGCACGCACACACAAACACACATGTCCAAAGCTGACTGTTATTCTCTGGGGTTGTATTTCAAGGCCTCTGAAGTCACCAAAGTCTCTAAAACACAGGTGGTCATGGAGCTTTTCATGATACACTTTTGGAATCTTCCACCCTCATTAGAACCAAACCACGGTTCCACAAGGCTTCTCCAAGAGCCAGCCCCATGGGACCCAAGTCCACAATGGCTTCCTCCATTCACAGTGAGCCGCCTGCAGGGACCCCAAGTGTGACCCGGGGTGGGGCTGGAGGGCAGGCCAGGCACTCTCGGCCTCCCGAGACCTTTCTCATGCCTGGGGTGCTCCACAGGCACCTTGATGCCTAGTGAGCGAGGAATCCAGCTTAGCAAAGAACGGGCACAGACATTTCCTGCTTGATTAATACTCGGTTCTGGGAACCTGACAAGCTCTGCTCCGCTTGGCACCTAGCACAGTCCCAGATGGTAAATCTTCCCTGTCACCACTGTGGTAACTCCCTAGAGGGGTCCTGGAATTGCTCCAGGAGGCCTTGTGCCAACTGCTAAGTCCCAATGTCCCCTCCTCGTCGTCTCACCAGCGCAGTTCACAGTCCAAGAGCCTCGATGCTTCCATGAAGAGGCAGATCGGCACCTTGTTGCCTGTAGCCAAACCGTACACGGGTGAACAATACAAAAATGACGACAGATTCGAGCTCAGTGGGTGAGAGGCAGCAGCTGTGTGTTTACTCAAGGTGAGTCTGGAAAAGCTACATGGCTCTTGAGACCTGTTTGAAATGTGGCCGGAAAAGGGGAGGCTGACGTGGGCACGTGTCCCTGGCATCCGCTGCAAGTCCTCCTGCCTCCCCGAGAACACAGTGTACAGCATCCGAGAGAGACTGGCCAGGACTTGGTGTTCGGTTACCTCCAACACCAATGACAGTTGGACTTGCATTTCCTGAGGCCGGCTCACAAGCCTCAGAGAGCTCACAGCATAACATCTTCTTCTGACACATGCTCATTGAACAACCACCATGAGCCAGGCACTGGGTAAGCACTGAGGAAACACGGGGAGAGTGACAAGGATGTCCCCGCCCCCAGTGGGCTCTCAGCTCACTGGGCAGAGGAGTTGGCCAAGTCCTAGGGCAGACACAGAACAGCCCTTCCATTCAGGGCACGTGGCGGTCACTGCAGCCAGAGGATCTGCTGGAGCAAGCAGGAGAAGCCTTGCTGCGGTCTGGATGTTGGTGTCCCCCACACATTCCTATGTTGAAGCGTAACCCCTGTGTGCTGGTGTTAGGAGGTGGGGCCTTTGAGAGCTGGATAGGTCATGAGGGTGGGGCCCTGATGAATGGGATAGGTTCCTATAAGAAGAGGCCCCAGGGAGCCCCCTCACCCCTTCCACCATGGGAGGACACAGACAGAAGGCACCATCTATGAACCAGAAATTGGGCCCTCACCAGATGCTGAATCTGCCCCTTGATCATGAACTTCCCAACCTCCAGAACTGTGAAAAATAAGCGTGTTGTTTAGAGGCCACCCAGTCTATGGTATTTTGGTATTGCAGCCCGAACCACCCAAGGCAGGCATGACATCCACCCTCTTGCAGGAAGTGGAAGAAGGGGTGGGGCAGGGACGGGTGGAGGAGGGGAGCCGGCGCTGAGACCCAAACCAAGAGCTAGGGAAAGCTGAGGGGCGGAGGTATTGTGGGAGACCATGCCTAGGCATTTAGAATTTATTCTAAAATCCATGAAAACTTGCTGAAAATGTTTGCTTTCATCTATGTGACATTCTTTTCTTTTTTTTTTTTTTTATTATTATTCTTTTAAGTTCTAGGGTACATGTGCATAATGTGCAGGTTTGTTACATATGTATACTTGTGCCATGTTGGCGTGCTGCACCCGTCAACTCGTCAGCACCCATCAACTCGTCATTTACATCAGGTATAACTCCCAGTGCAATCCCTCCCCCCTCCCCCCTCCCCATGATAGGCCCCGGTGTGTGATGTTCCCCTTCCCGAGCCCAAGTGATCTCATTGTTCAGTTCCCACCTATGAGTGAGAACATGCGGTGTTTGGCTTTCTGTTCTTGTGATAGTTTGCTGAGAATGATGGTTTCCAGCTGCATCCATGTCCCTACAAAGGACACAAACTCATCCTTTTTTATGGCTGCATAGTATTCCATGGTGTATATGTGCCACATTTTCTTAATCCAATCTGTCACTGATGGACATTTGGGTTGATTCCAAGTCTTTGCTATTGTGAATAGTGCCGCAATAAACATACATGTGCGTGTGTCTTTATAGCAGCATGATTTATAATCCTTTGGGTATATACCCAGTAATGGGATGGCTGGGTCATATGGCACATCTAGTTCTAGATCCTTGAGGAATCGCCATACTGTTTTCCATAATGGTTGCACTAGTTTACAATCCTACCAACAGTGTAAAAGTGTTCCTATTTCTCCGCATCCTCTCCAGCACCTGTTGTTTCCTGACTTTTTAATGATCGCCATTCTAACTGGTGTGAGATGGTATCTCATTGTGGTTTTGATTTCTCTGATGGCCAGTGATGATGAGCATTTTTTCATGTGTCTGTTGGCTGTATGAATGTCCTCTTTTGAGAAATGTCTGTTCATCTATGTGACATTCTTATCATCTGTATGCTGACAACTCCCACCTTTACTTCCTCCCAGCCCTCTGTTCTGAACACCACGTGCCCCTCTTGGTCTCTGGAAGTCCAGTAGGCACCTGTACACCTAGACACTTCCCCTGCACACAGATCTGCTCTTCCTGTGACAGTCCTTGTGACATTGTCATATCATAAGAGATATATTTGATTCTCCACCCTGGTTCTGGCACAAGAACTCTAAAAGCCTTGGGATTTCCTAAGAAATAGGGGTGAGAGGAATGTCTTCTGTTATTCAAGATGGGCCCCCTCTAACCATACCTGAGCTTATGGTGGGCTCCGAGAGAGCCTCAGATGGGAGTGGTTGCCACAGTAACCAACCTTGTGACTACAAGTTTAGCACTTTCAGCTACCCCATCTCCTCTCCAAGGAGATGAGGACTGGAGGTTGAAGTACACAACAATGCCCAGTGTTTTAATCTACCATGCCTAAGGGATGTAACCTCCACAAAACCCTTCAGCGACAGGGCTGGAGAGCTTCCGGGCTGGGGAGCGCAGGGAGGTGCTGGGATGGTGGTACGTCCAGAGAGAGCCTGGACGCTCCGCAGCAGCCACTGCAATGTCTCGCCCAGGGCAGTCCTTTCATCTGCTGTCCCCGAGTTGCATCCTAATCATAAACCAGTAAATGTAAGTAAAATGTTTCCTGAGTTCTGTGAGCTGTTCTAAACCTGAGAAGGAGTTTGTGGGAACCACCAGTTTATAGTCCATTGGTCAGACGTATGGGAGGCCCAGGCCTTGCGACTGGCCTCTGAAGTGGGGGCAGCCTTGCGGGACAGAGCTCTTAACCTGTAGGACCTGACGCTGATGGATAGTGTCAAAACTGAATTGAATCGTAGGACACCCAGTTGGTGTCGGGAGAGTTGGAGAACTGGTTAGTGGGAGGTAAAAACCCACGCACTTGGCGTCAGAAGTTAGAGCAGAAATGGTTCCAAGTCCCTGTTTCAGTGAATGGTTTGTCTGCCCCTGGATGTCTATGCCAGGCACCCACGAGTCACCACCCACCCTCCACATTCGGTGGGTGCCCTTGTCTGTGGCTTCCACTCCACAAGCCACCACGAATGTATCCAGGTCTGTGCATCTCTGCTCTCGCCAGCCTGGCCCCAGCCTGGCCTCCCTGAGCCACTGCAGCAGTCTGCCAGAGGCTCGAAAGCAGTGCTTAAGACTTGCATTTGAGAAAGATGGGTTTTGGATAAATGTGGAGGATGGACTGGGGGCCAGTGAGAAGGGGACAAGGGATAGTTTCAACGACACGTTCCTTCATGTGTTCACTGAAGCCATGATGCTCCGTGAGCACCTGCTGTGGGCCAAAGCCTGGGAGAGGGCTGGGCTGGGGATAGAGAATGGAGTGTCACCCACAGAGAGAAGAGGATCATGGGGCGGGGAGATGGCCGAAGTGACCCAGAGAGAGTTCAAAGGGAGCCAGGGCTGAGGCCAGAAACGCTGAGGGACAGACCGAGGAGAGGAATTGAGGAAGGACAGAGAGCAGGAGTATACGGGCAGAGGAGAGGCAGAAGCCGGGTGCTGCAGGACTGTGGAAGCTGGAGAAGTAGGTGGTCCCAGAGTCCCACACCCCTGGGGATCCAGGAAGGTAAGAAGGAAGTCAGCAACAAGGAGGTAGAAGAGGTTCCTTGGCATGTAGGGTAGAAACCAGACTGTGGTGACGGAGAACTGTGTGGGGGTGGAAAAGTGACTGCAAGGCATGACCACAGGTGGGAGAGCTGATTGTGAAATCTGCAGGAATTTTCTGAGCCAGGCACCAAATGCAGCCAGTGTTAAAAATTAAATGATGAAAACTTACAGTTAAATAGGTTACATTAGAAACAAAGCAGTAAATACTGAAAACTCATCTCTTCCTAGTTTGCTACCTTCTACCAATAGCTATTCCCCTGAGATAATGTCCATCCATTGTGTCCCTATGGCGAGAATGCTATATAATCACTCATGTCTATGCATCTCTTCCAACTCTGCGTGTAGTGTTATCTCATTGGTGGCTTGAAATTGGCTGTGATGGGAGTATTTACACCACAGAAACCAGCAATCTCTTCAGATCAGACCTTTTTATTCCCAGAGAGCCAGGTGTGAAACGTTTACCAGCACCACTGGAGGAGTGAGATCAGAGCACTTTCAGAAAGACAGCAGTGGCACAATAGCAAATGGAAGGGAGAAAAAGACAGCAGCAAACGTGGACAGGTTTGTGGGCTTCGTGGCAGGGAAGTGAGCGCATTGCCTCTGATGACTTTCATTTGTCTCGGTTATGCTGAGGTCAGGTCACCTGCTCTGTGTGTGGGAGCCAGAGAAGAAAGCAGCCACAGAACAGATGCAAACCAAGGAGGCTGGAAGATAAGAGCAGAGCCATCAGGACCGGAGCTCCTGTGGGTATGAAACAGGAGTCGTGGGAGCAAATTAGTAGGTGCACTGCATGGAGGGACGGAAGGGTCAGGGAGGAGCATCTGAATGTGAGATTTCAGAGAAGCGCATTTTGTCAGCGTTTCAGAGCTTCCTGTGTGGAGCACGGATCTAAAGCTGGTGGATGCAGGGGGGTGAACCATCTTCACTTCCTGTATGCTGATGGCGGAAGCAAGACATCAGTGAAGAAACATCACCAAATCATGATGAACGAATGCCATTGAGGAAACAAAGGACACTGTGGCACCAAGGAAGGAAGGGAGATTACTTTTCACAGTGGCTGTAAATAGAACTGAAGACTGAAAAAGAGCTGTTAAAATGGCTTATTTGAAGGTGAATGAGAGCATATAATTCAAAGTAATTCTCCCTCCCATCCCCAATGCCAGCTTCCACGTTTCTCTCCCCAGAAGCAGCCATGGTTCATCACATCCATTTCCAGAGGTGTCCTAGAAGCAAGCTGTTTGAGGAGCCGGGGAAAGAGGGGCACGTGCAAAGGCCCTGGGGTGGAAAGGGGCCTGCTGTGCTCTGAGCTGCAGCAGAGCTTCTCAAGCCTTAATCCGCATTTGAATCACCCAGGGATCTTGCTGAAATCCTGATTCCTGATTCAGTAGGTCTGGAGAGGGCTTGAGATTTCTAACGAGCTCCAGGTGATGCTGAGGAGCCTGATCTGGATCTCACTTAGAGTATTAAATGAAGTCCTAGGGGATCATTAGCGATCCAGCCAGCCAGAAATGTCAGAGGAGAGCGAAGAACAGTCAAGACAGGGCTGCCCAGATAGGCGGGGCAG